ACTGTCCAAACTTGAATATGTACCTAACGTTAAAGAGCGTCTCGGTGACTTCTCTCCCCTTCCCTATGCGCACTTAGAGGAGTGCTATTCTTCCCGGAGGATCAACAAGAGAAACTATCTCGGAGTGGTATATTAGGACTAGGTAAGAATGGTCTTCTTACTTGCTTAAGTTGCGTTCATTAGTTGCGATTGCCTAGTAGGCAGGTTAGGTATCTATTGGTACGTTTATAGCAAGTCATCTTAGATTCCCTGCCAATTGGTAGCGATTCACTCACTTGCGCCGGCGCAACCGGGGCCCGGCTGCGATTCGAAACCTGAGCGCTTGTTTTAGATGAAATATCTGTTTAATTTGGCTCTTCTTATACTGACGGTCGACGCTTTTTTCGCGCCAACCCGCCTGACGACGGCTGACGAACCAACATGTTCCAGCGGGATGTCCCAGCTTGCACTGCGAGCACGCCAACTTTAGAGGTTTGCTGAGGACGACCACGAGTAACTATGCGCAAAAAGTCACCGCCGCCGACATTGCCTTCGCGCTGGAGGTGTCACCCGACATCCGCTTGCAGTCTGCGAAAGAAGAGCCTCCTACCGAACTGGGCACGGAAATGCAGGTCTTTCCCAGCATTCCTGGAATGGTGGAGAGATCAGGCAGAGGAGGTAGGTAGCCATAAGGTCGTTACTTGCCGTTGACTTAGCATTTGTACGCGGCTGCTCCATTCCCCGCCAGCCCGCACTTTCCCTCTCCCCTAAACGCTGTCTGGTCCCGTTATTCTCTTTTCCCCCCGTTTTTCTCTATTTTTTGTTCTTTGTGTTTCGGTATTACCCGTTAGATTCCTCTTTCTAAGTCGTTTCTTTCATCTCTTTTCTTCGCCGATGGAGGAACCAGAGTAAGTGTCGCGGACTGCCATCGTGGACGTAGATCGCGAGTTGGCCCAACGGATGTACGCCGAATTGCCGCTGAACCATGAGAACACGGGAAAGTTCCGTCTCTTAGAATTATATCGAGGCCGCAATCATAACTCAAACCTCCAAGGGCGGCTCATGGTTGCATCCATCACTGATTACCCACCCTTTGACGTCCTCTCTTGCGCACATGCATGGGATGCGAGCGACAAAATGAATAAGCTTAGACTTAATTACCGACGGAGTCATATCGATACCGAACGCACTATTCCGCGCACTGGCGGGCCTGCGGTACCTGTTTAGTACCAACCCCGAGAACCAACGTTTCAAGAATCAACATTTTTGGGTCGACCCGATCTGTGTCAACAAAGACGACCCAGCCGAGAGAAATGCCTTGGCCGATATCTTACCCGCTATACACTCGAGGTCCTCAAACGTCTTCCTTTTCCTCGACTCCAGCACTTCAAATTTAGCAGCATTCCTTCTTTATCCAGGCAACGCGATACAGGAATGCCCCAATGGGATTTGCCAACCGAACCTTGAAGGGCAGCTACAATTGACAGGGGACGAAGAGAGTTGCGAGAATTCCTCTGGGGTAATGCACTGGCATTCTGTGGGCCGTGGACCCTTCAACAGGTGTCGCTCTGCCAAAACGTCCCGTTAGTCTTTTATCGCAGTCGTCGTCGTCGTCACAAACCCTTCATTTGTTGCTGGGACTGCTTTTGCCGGGGATTACATAGCCTTCGGGTGCATCACCCGGAACGATTAAGCCCTCATGGAACCCTGTCTCTAGACACGATCAACATTCGGAGTATGGCCGATCGTGGATTGATGCCGCAGGTCAACTACATCGATGGCGTACGAACCTTGATTCGTGCAGCTGACGGACACCAGGGAGTCCTGGGCTCTTTGAAGATGGCCTACGAACAGCAGCACCGGTGATCAAGGCGAGGGACCTGAGAAACAAAATATACGGTTTAATCGGTGTTCTTCCGCAGAAAGCATGGAACACAATTCGCTGTGACTACAACCGCAGTGTGGTCACTGTCCTTGCTGACGCAGCAAAGTGCGCCATTGTCGTTTCAAAATATCTCGGGGTGCTATCGATGGCAGGGCAGGGAAAATACCACGATCTGTCGCTCGAGGCCTTACCGTCGCATGCTGGCCTCCATGAACCGTTGACTTACCGTTGGTTGACGGCTCCTTAGTCTAAACTGCTGAATATCATAAGCTAATATCACCCCGCTCGTTTTATGTGACTGGTTTACTTAAATAAGCCGCTGAAACACCATTGAGTCGTTCATGTAAATCAACCGCTTGTTGCGATTGAGCCGCTAGTTTTGCTGAGTCGTTTAAATGTTAACTGAGCCGTTATCACAACGGCTTGTAAACTGTGAGCCGTTTGTTGTTGTGAGCCGCTCCGACGTTTAGCCGCTTATTCAATGTGTGCGGTTCGCGGTGTTGCCGACCCGGTTCGCTCGCATCGCGCCCCTCCACGCCCGCCGGATCCACTCTGACCCACTCAAATACACGCTTATGCAGGGCTCAACTGGTCAATTCTGCTGGCACGCCAGGACATGCGACGCGCGCGACACGTCGCATATCCCGGGGAGCCAGCACACTCAAATGAGGTGCTCTTTTACATGCCCTGTCGTTCCTCGCGATCCATCCGTCCATTGCGCATCAAGTGAACTGCACGCGCCAGTTAACCCAGAGTAGCTCGGTATCCGCCTCCAGCTCAGTGTTCCCGATGCCTGTAAGCAGGCGGCGACCCGGACCAGTCGTGAAAGGTACCATATAAAGGCGATCGCGGCGTAGAGCAGGCAGGCCGATAAGTCGGTGTCGACAGTCCTCGAGCGAAGCCGCCATGGCAATGTTGGCACCAGACGCGGCCATCTTCAAGATCGGAAGTCCGGTCAGGGGCTCGGTGCTGCCGGTGTCGGCGAGTGGCGTGATGACTAAGAACACAAAGAACTGGCCAGAACCTGACAGGAATATTTGTTAGCGCTCTGGGCGTGGTTGGTACCGTTGTCTCGTCAAGCGCAGTTTGCTGATCGATAGAGTGGTGGCGGGACGCTTGTCGGATACCCCGCTCCATATGGGATGATGACGAGTCGATCAGAAGGTTCTGACTCACCATGCACTGCTTCGTGCGTCATGATATGCTCAAGTCTGCCGACGTTGCCGTCGCGGTACTTCACGAATTGGCCCCGCTGATAGACCAAGCGCTGGACACCTTTGGGTTTGGTGCTGATGGGTCCGTCTCCAAACGAAACCTTCTTCCACCACCTGATATGCCAGTTCGTCGTCACAATAATGTTCTTGTCATAGTCCACCCGGTATGCATCGCGAAGCATCCAAAGGAAGGTTGGCACCAATGCGCCCTCACGAACGGGAAAGCCCATGTCCTGGTATACACGAGCCTTCACCAAGACCAATACACTTAAGCATTGGGGGATGCAGGTCGTCACCAACAATGATGTCCCAAATCGAAGAATCGTCGTCATCGTTCTGGAGACCTTCGCGCGGTAGCAATGATGAGAACAGAGAAGGGGCTGCCGATGCCAGATTCTTGATGTCGGTGGTGATATCGGGGTCGTCATAGCGAAAGCCGTCGAGTAGTGTCAGTCGAACCGTCTGCAGCATATTCTCGTACGCAAGGCAGTCCTTCTCGGGGTTACGATGGTTCATCGTGAGCACGATATTCTTCCAGAGCCTGGTCACGTATCAGCCCTGTCGCGACGAGAGTATGGGAGGTACTCCTTCCCATGGTACTTCTCCTTGGCGTGCGGGGGGTGGGTGTCGGAGACTCGAGCAAGGGTCGGTCGGAAAGGAGGTACTTCATCGACCTGTGGCCCACTATTAGACTTTTCAGGGGGCACTATCACTTACTTGTGTTTCAACTCGCCAGGGAGAACCATCATCAACGACACCAAGCCATATTGACGGAACACGTCGACATAGTGCAGGTCAAACATGTACGTTCGGACGCTGCGCCCACTGTCGATATTTGCTGGCCTTCTGGGCGACGGGAACGCTGGCCGATGTTGATATCATCGTCGACAGCTTCCTCGTCCTCTTCATGGACCGGCTCGATAGTGTTGCCAGCTGCGGGACGAGGCGCGGAGGGGGCAACGGATCCGGCGCGGGATGATGCAAGTGAGCCACGACGCCGGGCAGCGGCAGCAGCGGCAGCGCCAGTAGCAAGGTTAGTAGAGCGCGACGCAGCCTCGCATATCAATTGGAACATACGGCGGCTAATTCGGATCGTGTCCATGATAGTCGCAGGGTCGCGGTCGTTCGCATCGAGTTCAGGTGCTGATAGGATCTCGTTGGTCTTGACGATTGCCGCTAGCACCAGTGTCAGTATCTCGACAGCGCTCTTGTGCTCGACCTTGGATGCTATAGCCACATCAGTGTTGGTGGCTTGCCCGCGGGTGAGCTCGGTTTGCGAGAAAACACCCCGTACTGCCTGAACGAAAGGGCGCTTCAGATCTGCCTCCGTCAACCACAATAGCGAGATGATGGTCATCAGAACCGACCATCGCGCATGCTCCTGCAGACTGTAGTTGAGTACGTTATATGGGGACTGGATTCGGGCCCAACCAGGGGGGAAAGGCATCTGGCGGAGGATCTTCGAGTATGCGACGACGGCATCAGGCTTCAACGCAGCATCAATCAGGATCTGGTGAGTCATCTTCGTGATACCGTTGAACTCGGAATGTGCTGCGTCGCCGGGACGACCGCTGATGAGATCTAGTGCTGGCGCAACCTGTTGAACTGCAGGACGGTCAAGCGATATACCGTGCTTCGTCGAAAATGCCTGCTTGCGGTACTTCTGAGGCAGGTCGTCCATTGCACGACGTAGTCGGAGCATCTCAGACATGGGCCCGTGTCTGGTCGAGTATGTTGAAGTCCAGTTTATCGCGCTTCTCGACAGGGATCCTACAGTTACGGCAGCCCAGGTTAGCCGCCACACTGAGACAACCCGAGTTATCCTGTTGCTGCGGCATATCGCCAGTGAAGGCGATGATCGGGGCACACAACAGGGTCTCCACACCATTGATGGCAACGGTGATGCCCTGGTCGAGGGCCTTGAGTGGGGCGAGGGCCTTCATCACATCGTCGAAGTTGGCGCCGTGCGGACCTAGGGTAACCGGCAGGACGTTGATCTGCCGTGTATGCTCGCTTCTCGGCATCGCTGCAATCTGCAGATAACAACCCATAATCGACTTCGTCATCGTGCGGTACAAGCCGAAGCCGTCATTGAAGTCCAAGCATGGGAGGGACCGAACTTGACCCTGTTCAGGGCCAATAGCGAACTTGTTGATGAGCACCTCTCGACCGAACTGTATAACCTCAAGCGCCGGGGACAGGTGGGACCAAGCATGGTGGCATAAAAGCACACTGTTCCTTCATGAAGATGCGGCGGATGAGTGGCATGCCGATGCGCTCGCGTGGATCGTCGTCGAACTCCACCTGGCTACCAAATGCATAATCGAAACCGATATCGGTGCGACGACCGCGAATCTTGGCCGATGGAACGAGCTCCATCGGGCTATAGCTCAATACCCATTCGTTGTCTGTAACGTTGTCGCGTGTTGGGTTGGTCTTAATCTCGATCGCCTGGTTCGCAACGATATTCTTGATAACATGGCCACGGAGTACCCGCGCGATAACGAGTACAACGTCACCCTGCTGAGCCTGGTCGACGTTGTTGTTTGATGCGGCTATCAAACCGAGGTCTCGAGTGCTGTCGCGACGGTCGCGGTATACTGCCATAACTTGGCCGACGTGAGGCTTTGACGTGTCATCTGCACTGTGACAGTGCCTGCAGTCGCGGAATGTGCACTCGAAGTCGACGATGTCGCCGGGGAAGATCGGGTCCTTTGGGCTGGCTGGAAGCGGCGGGTACCAGACAAAGACGCCGCTAGTGGTACGCACTGAACCAGCCCACTGCATGGAATGCCAGGCTTCGATAGGGCTATCGACGAGGTCGGCTAGACCATAGTGCATGCCCTTGGCCAGTTGCGAACCTTCGATACGGCTGAGGAAATCTACAGGGTTTAGGAAGAAGAGGTCCTGTGTAGGGTTCTCACCCGTCGTCATGGCGGTCACCTGGCGTGACGAGGAGAGCTTCTTGGGGTTGAGTGGCAGGTCCCTTGACGGTTCTCATATCGATGTGCGGCAACGATTCGCGGACGTGACGCTTGAGCGTATCGAGACTGTCGGGTAGCCGGTTAACTTTGTCGGCGTCACGACCGAGCAATTTGAAGAGCTCTAGCTGTGTGGCATACTGCTTTCGTGACACGCCATTCACGATGCAGTAGAGGCCCCAGCCAAGGGCGAAGTCAGACAGTCCATGGATCTTGCGGGGGTTGCTTGATCGACTCCGACGCCGCGAAAGGATCCGTCATATCCTCGCCATACTGGGTGATACGCCTGCCAAGGGCGTAGCAACGGCGATCTCGTCGGCAACATCCTCGGGCATCTGTGGCATCGACCTCGTCGTCCTGATCCTCGACGGTATCAGCAATGTATTGGTACTCGGTCCAATGCCCGTAACTCCGACTGCAGTGGCGCATCGTCGGCAACCTGGTATTCGCCAGTGTCGGGGTCGGGGTCGGGATAAACGACGTGGTCTTCTTCGATTGCAGCATCGACTAGCGCATGGGCAAGTTCGTTCTCGTCAAAGTCCTGGGAAAAGTGTGTCAGTAAGTTCTGTGTCATCAGGGCGAAAGGTACTGAGTAAACTTACGGTTACAGCCTGCGGTTCCCAATCGTCGCCGAAGTCGCTACCTTGGTCGAAATCTCCGGAACCGGAGGGAATATCGGCGAACGCAGCATCGTCGTCTACCTCTACCGGGTCTGCGTGACGCGGTCGCTGGGATGGGGTATCGTTACCGGGTTGGTATGGGCGATTCAGACCTCTCTCGCTGTCGCTTGTCGACCCGCCTCTGTAAACGGCGCCGAATGATCGCCAGTTTGGTTCGGTATTGGAGTGCGCGGGGCATCGTGACTGTCGCCAAGCTCGGCACGGCGATGTGAGATGCGATCCGTCTCTCGATGGGCAGGTTTTGATACCCGTTGGTGTCCACGCAGTGACTACGACCACGACTGGAGGGATGTTGAAGTGGGCGAGACCGCAAGAGAGTGGGAGAGGAAATTGGTCGGTATAGTGGGGTTGAGTGGGATATCGCTGGCTCGGAGAGGGGGGCATCACTTACCACACAACAGTCAATTCGACGCACCGAAAGTAGGAAGGAGTTGCCGCCACGCCGATCCCCGTCATGGATAGACGCTAAGGCCGTCCCCCACCGGCTTACCTTATCGCAACCGCTTATAGCAAGAGCGGCTCACGACTCAAACCGATCACTGTCGGCTCAGAGCTCGGAGCCGCTCATGGAGACAAGCGGCTCATGGAACTAAACGGCTCATGGCTCATAAGTCGGTAACTGCTGGCTCAATTGTCACAAGCCACTTGTCAAAAAACGCGGCTCACACCCATATACAGCTTGATACCAATGAGTTGGACATTGATGGTTAGTTTACAATTAGTGGTACGATAATGGCTTAACGCAGAGAGCGGCTGTGTCTTTGGGAAACGTTTTATATACGAGCGGTTGGTTGACGGCTCGTCTACTAAGCTGTTCAAATATAGAAACGTTTGCAACTATAAGTAGCTTAAATGAACTAAGCTGACTTTCAACGGCTCACTCTGAGCGAGCGATTACTTTACGGCTCGCAAGCACCCTACATACTCCCCTATGGGATTGCCCGTCTTGGGTGCCTCATCTCACACCTCATCCCTTTCCCGATGCGCTGAAATGGAAGCTTCCCCACCCTCGTTTACGTCAGGGAACGCCCTACCCGGTCGGCACGGGACCTCCAAATTCCGGGCGATGTCGAGGCTTTGGACGGAAACCGGCTGGTTTTGTCTGGGATTCCCATAGATGAGGTGGCCTCCGTCGGTGACATGCCCGACCAGGGGAATCCGTTGAAGCGTCATTGTGCTACCATCCCGGCTAAGATATTTGCCAACGCAGCGAGAAAATGTGGCGAGTGCCAAGGTTGTAAATTAGGCATGGTCTACCCCGATCTGCCCTCACAGGGAGGGAGCAGTGGTCAAGGAGGGAACAGCGGAGAGGGAGGGGATTCAGAGGGCACCGAGCCGGTGTTAGCGCCTGCGCTGCGTTTTTGTACTTTCATTACTTGCAACCCTAGGATGCCGCCAATACCCCCAGAGCAAGCTCAGTGCCATCCTAATGACTTAGTTTACTTATATCGGCAGGTCAACACTTCAAATATCGACTCGGGCAATCCCCAGATAGTAACCAGCAAGGAGCATCATGACGACACCATGTCAAGAATATGCCAACAAGTGGGACCACAGGGGCGCGGGACGTCCCGAGCCAGTTGCTTTAGGAACCAATCACGGGGCGCTCTAAGAGGCACCTGAGAGCCAGGAAGGACAACCAGTCAGGGACTGCTCTCACATGCTCTTGAGAGCCACCAAGAGGAGCGGGCTCTAGCATGCTCTTGAGAGCTAATTAGAGCTCAGAAATTAGATAGTATATATTCACTCGTTCTGGAGAGCTCTGGGAGTTCTCCAGTTAGCAATCACAGCTACAGTTCGCTACAAGCCCGGAAGCCTACTGTTGAGACAAGTCTTTGTTGTGCACCTCTTGGCTGCACCGAACCTAAGCACCCTTGAGAGATTACCTTCAACCGAAGCTGAACCCTAACAGGACCGGGTCCTGAAGTAGGTTCGTCACACACCACCGGTCCAAATACCCACCATCAGTCAGCAGTATCGTGGGACTATTCCTTCGAAAGACCATACAGGGACACGTTCCGGCGAGCCTTCGTGGCCGACTTTCTCTTTTGTAAAGACAACGGAGACCCCTCTCTCCCCTTTCAGGCTCCGGCACCCCTCAGCGACCGCAACTGGATCCTTCGTCTCCTCCAAGATAACACACCGGGGTGGACAGCGGACAAGTACAACATACTCAACAGTGCAGGTTTGAGTGAGGCTAATGTTTGGAGAGTTGTTTGAGCAATTCCCTGCTTGCAAGGAAAATGACGCGAAGTATGGGATCAAGATGCAACGATTCCGCTTTTGCTAACAGGTCTTGACTTCGAACGGGTGGCGTAAGCGGTACGCGGGGATGGGAGCTAACTTATTACAAGACAACCAAGACCTATTAGAATTATCAACACCACTACCCAGATCAGGTACCTACGTCACATCTGCCGTCAGCAAGTTGCAGAAAACGCCAACCTTGGGGACTGGATACAAAGACCATCGGGCCACCATCACCCTCTGTAGGCCCTTTAGCAGTGAAAAATGCGGTCTAACGAGAGTAAAAAGTCATCCATATTAGGTACCCACGAACAATGCCCACCCCTTGGCACCAGCCTCAAACCTCAGGAAGCTTCTCCCCAACCACCACCTTCTCCTCCCTACTCCTGCCCATCCCCCCCCTCCCCCTCGTCAACTCCCACTCCACCAACCCACCCTCCCCCTCCCGGCCCTCGCAACCACCCAAATCAAAAACCCTATAATCCGCATTCCCGAACCACCTCCCCACCACCGCCGTCCGCATAAACCCCGAATGCGACACCACCACCACCACATCCTCCGGCCGCTTGTACAGGTCTGCTAGTGCCGACCGCCCCCGCGCCAGCACCGCGCCTTGGCTGTACTGGTAGGCGGCGCCGGCGGGGGAGGTCTTGTCCGGGTAGATGGGGTCGAGGGCGCTGAAGTCGAAGGTGGGGAACTCGGTTGCGAGGGTGGTGGCGGGTGTGCCGGTGTCGCAGGGTTTGGGGTAGAGTTCTGAGGGGGTTAGAGGGGGGTTGGGAGTTGTGGTTGGTAAGGGGAGAGGGGGGAGGGGGTGGTAGGCACGTGTAGATCTTTTACCTTGCCATCGGGCGTCAAGGGATCACGGGTACGCCCGCGTCGATGAGCCAGTCTAGTGCGGTGAGGGTGGTTTGGATGGCTCGCCGCATGGGGCTGGTGATGATGAGTTGGACTTTGCGGTCTGCGGGGAGGTGGGCTTTGAGGTGTGCTCGGAGGTCCAAACACTGTTGAAGGCCTAGGTCGGTGAGGCCGGGGTCGGGGAGGACGTGGTTGGCTTCTTCCGGGGGATGTTAGCTCGGGTCGTGATATCGGTTGGGGGTTAAAACCAATGGATTGTGCTCTACTCACTGTCTACGTTGTGGATCGCCTGGGCGTGACGGATGAAGATGACTGTGGGAGGCATGTTGTAGTTTGGTTGCTGGTTGTTTTGATATTGACTTGCCGGTGTTGGTAAGGTAAATTGTGCGGTGTGCCAGAGAACCAACCGGCCCAGGAGGCCTCGAGCTTAAATAACCGTGCGATTATTTGTAGTTATTTCTCAACAAACAGGACGTGGCATCCTAAACAACAGGGGGGTTTTGGTGGGTCCCGGTGACCGTGTGTAAGCAAAAAACCTGGGTTTGGCATGGGCCACGTCGTGGAACTGTGAAAGGTTTCTTGTGTACGTAATACAATGATAATATGTGAGAAATTGCAAGAGTAGAATCATCGACTTGGTGAAACAAGACGTGTGGGACCTGATTCTAGGGATCGTATTCTCAAATCGTCTATCTGGTCTCAAGTTGTTCACTCGCCGTAGTTTAGGCCCCACGACTTCTGCCACGCTAAGCCAACTGCTCACTCGCCATCAAGCCTCAATCTTGGTCTAAAAGATCCCGAAAGAAATTCCATCGTGTCGCGCTAGAATCCTAGCTGCTCGTGGACCTTGTTCCGGCTGTGGTCCCGGGGTTCGTACCCGCATTCTGAGTCTTTTTTGTCGGAGTCTCTTTCTTTTCCATGATGGGAAATGAGCGGTTTTTGCGTGTAATGGGTCGTAGCCCTTCAGCAGCCATCTGCTGGGTCTCTGCTTTGCGAGCTTCGGTAGGCATGTTGATCAAAGGTTCGTCTAGTTGACGGCGGAAAAAGGATGAATTTTGAGTGATCAGAGATTGTTATAACTGATAATGTGTGAGTGCAAAATGATGGACACGATCGAGTACTGTTCTTGTTTATAAGCTGAAGCAGCTTCCACATAAAAGCAGCCCAAGGGTCAGTCAGGTCGACGAGAAGGTCGTTGTGTTACAGTTCTGACACGAGGTAAATTAGAAGGCCGGCCCTTCTCCACAAGACCGAATCCTCCCCTCGCTGTGGCGGCCATCATTGAGCGCGCCCCCACTGTCTCAAGGTGGAGATACATGTGCTGTGTATAAGTTCTTTGTGGTCACTTGTTATCATGTCACTTAATTTCTGCTGAAATGTATGAATAAGCCCTGGTCGGTAAAGATAGGACCCTCGCCGAGAGAATCAGGGTGGTGGGTATGAGAATGTAACCATCGATGAAATTTCTCAATATCCAGTTGGAATGTGTTAACCCAATATGTGCGGCGCTGCGCTTCCTTCACTCGGCTTTGAGGCTCAATGACTCCTTCGGACCCACGAGGCAATGGTTTAGTTTCAGCACGCGTTCTCGAGGCTAGTGGCACAGGTACCCACATACAGTACCGTCACGGGCTCTTTGGGCACGCGCCAGCCAAGTCAGGTTATCAGTATCATGTGGTTTCATCCAAAGCTCCCTCGCAATATCAGCCGGACTTTGATCACCACGACCCTTTCTAATCCGATGGGAAAAAACACCCCCCTTTCCGCTCCTCCCCCCCAATCCATCTCAAGCAGCAGCCGGCAAATGAACCCCATGCAACCCAATAGCCACGGCAAACTCACACTCGGACCTGCCCAACTCGGTCATCGTCCCTCGCATCTAGACACAGCAAATAACTCATCCGATTCGCCCCATCCAGCACCACACTCAAGAACATCCCATCATCCTCCCTCTCCCCCTTCCCCTTTCTAAGCGACGAGCCGACCATTGACCGCGACAAAGAGACGGCTCTCCCAAGGAGTATGGAACATGGAGC